GAGATGCAATTTTAATTTTACATTGTGCCTCTTTTTTCCTAAAATAAATATAGGACTTAACTTCTAACAAGACTTGTGTACTTGATTTTAAAAAATGGGAGCTAGAAAATGTTGAATTAATTTTTTAATTTCTGTCATAGAATGTGGACTTGTACATGTAGACCCACAAGTTGCGAGGTGGTAGCCAGAATGTGCCAGATATGGATTTTTAATTTTTTTCTGAACGGGATTTTAATTTTTGAGGAATTATGGGGTACTTCAAAAGGAGCAGCCAGAAAATGGGGTCTCATCATACACTCTCATGGCAACAGTGAGTGGTAACTGGTAAGAGTGTGTGAGTTCAATGCTGGAAAATCAGGTAGAAAAATTTACTTTTTCTTCAAAATACTGTCCCAAATTAAAGAGAACATTGTGTGGGGTCGAAAATATAACTAATTTGAAGCACCTCATTTATTATTAGAATACAAAATGCAAGTGATTATGCCCACAGGGGTGGGCTAAACTACACAATCCCCGAAAATGGTTGACCCTTATTGCATAAATTGTTACAAGTTCATACTTTGCTTTATGTGCCCGACTCAACAGATAAATGCCGAACTTGCTCCAAATTGTTCAGTGACTGGTACTGCTGCAGCTTTACATGTACTTTGGGGACTTTCCAACGTGCAGTTGAGTCCGGCAAACCGACCACGATATATAACAAGCTTGATCTACGGGCTAGCAAATGTTTTAACTAACAACGGTACTGAACGAAGTGAACACAAAGTAATCGATCGAGCTGTAAAAGCTACATATTGCCGGTCTCGACCCGAGACCAGCCAAAATATCGAGACCAAAGGGGACCGAGACCGAGACCAAGACCGAGACCACAGCTTCCGAGACCGAGACCGAGACCGAGACCAGCAAAAAGTGGTCTCGAGACCGGTCGAGACCTACAACACTGCTCGGCACCATTTCACAGGCAGTCAAGCACAATGCGACATACATAGTACATGAAGGTCTACATTTAATTTGTACACCCAGACCATGTACATATATTTATTGGAGGACACCACAATATTAAGCGATATTCATAACTTAAATACAAATTGTACCTGTAAGACAAATACCCATTCCTACTGGTCGACAGCCTGTCACATGGCCGGTCTTAAACGGTTGGTAAAACACCAGCTGGCTGATCTTAAACACCTTTCCAATATCAAATGAAATTTGGACTCCAAATCCTATGAAATCTGGTCCCTTTTCCTTTTTATTGGTTAAACGTTCACAACCTTCACTTAGGAATACTACCAATGAGTCAGTATTTCATAGTCCTAAATTCACACTACACTGGCACAGCTGCGCGGTGCGCACCACGCACGCAAATGTCCATATAAGGAGTTGCTTACGACTACTCGCAAGAGGCACATATCGGTACCTACATGTACATTGTATAACACAGTAGTAAAATTGTTGAACAAAATCGTTTGAAATATTTTACCCTTTGACCGAAAAGGTTATGAATGGGAATACATATAAATGTGTTTGGCCGGTATCGAAACCAGTCCGGTTTTAAACGGACTTGTTTAAAACGGGCCAAGCACACATACCGGTAAATTCTCTTATTTACATATTGTGTACTACTTGTTTACCACACCCTGACCATCAACTTACAAATAAAATCTGTCCTTGCCACACATTGTCCAATGTGTCCTGTTGACTTTAAAACAGTAAATTTCCTGAGGTTAACCACAAGGCCAATTGGGTTGAAACTTTCTTTGTACATGGGACAGGGATGCGTTGGGGGAGACCATACAATTGGAGGAAACCATGATACTAAGTGATATTTGCAAAGTGTGTAATTACTTCCACATATTGTTTACCACATCCTGACCATCAATGTGCTGAAAATCTGTCCTTGCCACACATTGTCCACATTGTCCTGTTGACCTTAAAGGGAATATACAACATTTGCAAACATCGAAAAATAAAACTACCAAGTTTTTGCGAAATACCTTAATAGGATGTTGGTAAATGACAGTCTAAAGCATCCTGTAAAATTATGGCACCTGGTATACTGTCATTTTCAAGAAAAGTGGTATTTTTGTATCAATTTCCAACGCTGATCGGCCGATCAGCGTTGGAAACAACTGGCTTTTTTTCAAATACTGGCCCCAATTGACCATTGCACTTGTTTGCAATCGATTACAAACCTATGAACGGGTACGGGCCAGCTAGGCTGGTTCCCTGACCTTACAATTCCCCAATGTATGTAAACTGCTCTGTTTCTTCTTATATGGAGTCAGGGAACCAGACTACAGGAAAATGATCGTTTTTCTTGCTTTTTATAGCATTTTCGAACCCAAAACCTCCAAAAAGTCAGTGTAACTATATTTGCTATATATTTCCAACCCCCCAATTCCATCCATTTCTGAAAATTACAGCAAAAGCAAATGATGTATACTCCCTTTAAAGATGCACATTCGACCAGATTGCACCACAAAAAAAAAAAAAATTACGTAGAAAATGTTGGAAACCTAGTATGTTTACAACTACAGGTACATGTAGCATGGCAGTATTTTTTTGCCTTTTCTATCCATTCATTTTTCCAACATCGCATTTTGATCCATTTTAACAAACAATTGGCACTGCATTAATTAAATGGTGACTGCTCTATGTTCCGACACCCCTATGTTCCGACAACCTAGATTGTGTTACTCCCGGTTAGGGTTAGGGTTAGGGTTAGGGTTAGGGTTAGGGTTAGGGTTAGGGTTAGGAATAGGAATATGTGCAGTCGGAACATAGGGGTGTCGGAACATAGAGGTGTAACCAATTAAATGTACCGATATTCTATTCTGCTGTGTGGTAATTACGAACAAAAACAGTCAGTTTCCAAGGTATAATTTTGTTAACATTCGTATTGTATTTTTTAATGCCCATTCCAACTATGGAATGCGAATGCGAAGGGAATTTGACATCACAAACGTTTGCTGCAAAAAACTGCTGGAGTTGTGTTAAACTTTTGCGAATACGCACTACATAAACATAGCATGACGTCACAAATGTAATTTTTTTAAAAGCAATCCTTGAAAATGCACCTTTGTGTCTCATTTAACCTTATTTTTAATTTTTGTTTTGCCATTTTCAAGGGTACATTTGTATTTTGGTGCCTTTTTGGTTTTTATAAATGCGAATTTCCATACTCATACGCAAAAGTGTGATGTCATTTCAGGCAGATATTACAGCTTTTTCAGCTCAAAAAGTTTGGATATTTTGCTGTCGTACATTGTCTTTTCTTTGGTGGTTCGTCGTGTCAGTACATGGCAGTAAGCCAATGAGTCAACTTTTCTCACAGATGTTTTCAATGAGCAGATTTTGGGGTTCACATTTGAACAGAATAACCCTAAACTGAACAATGTCTTCCTGAAATGACATCACAGCAACAGCACCCTCAGTTGCCCAGAAAAGCATGGACAATTTTTACATGTTTAAAGAAGTGCACTTTTGAATAAAATTAACCAAAAAAAGATGTCAAATACATATAGTTTTTATACATTTAAGGGGAGTAGAAAGTTGCACAAAATGTGTTCCTAAGAAAAGTCATTTCATGGGCACAATAAAGTGCAGAGGAAACAAGACCAGTAATCTGTAGGCCTGTACGACTAGTGCGACTACATGTAGCTGACTAGTCGACGTAGTCGCCAATACTTAAAAGCACAGTCGCGACTATTAGTCATTATCCGTGACTAGTCGCGACTATTCAGGTTTCAGGTTTCTTTTATTTTTCCACAGTATCAAAATATGAAACGACGAAAAAATTTACAAGATTATTTAAAGAAAATCAAATACAAATATATACTATTTTACTAAGTAACTTAAATACAAAATTGATGCAAAGGAATGTATGCATGTAGGCCCTATGCGTTAAGAAATCTAGATGCAAAGAAATTGTGATACTGCAGATCCATTTAGAAAGCACAGCTAGAAAGCACAGCTTGTAATTGAAGTTGTATTCAATGGTCCCTTGTTTACATGCATTGAGACAGGAATGGGTACCGACAGGAATAATAGAATGGTAATCGGACCATGCAGGTCCATGGACGAGTCACCAATGAACAAAACAGTGGGTTTTAATGCACATGTATGCACTATTGAAATTAGTCGCGACTAGTGAAATTCACTAGTCACCCACACCTGAAAATCTGTGATCCAAAATTTAAAAATAAAGATGTTTAACTTTTAAGGAGTAAGGAAGGCCGGTTCATACTAAGCGCGAAACGAACGTGAACGCGAATTTGTGATGTCAGGGGGAGTTTTCGCACTGCGAATTCGCAAAAGTTGAACACATTTCAACTCCGGCGAATTTCTCAGCGAATGCCTCTGGACGACAAATTTGCATAGCATTCGCATGAAGTATGAACCGGGCTTAACAACGACTATCAAATTAATAATGTTCGCTCAACGAGAAGGTAATTAAATATGGTGCAGGCCTACTCGTATACACATGCATGAGGGCGCTACACGATCTACCGGTTTACGAATGAAAAAAAAAAATGCATGACCAGTTCACGGCTAAATAAACACCTGGTTTTTATTTAGGTTAAATTTAGTGCAGATTGTATTTGTAGTGTAGGTTTGTAAATTTTGATCACAGTAGGCAATGCCAGGGCTACTTGAGAAGAAAACGCTTCTTTCTTACCCGTTTTAGCACTTAGAGATGTTAGTATCACAGCAGTTCAGATGCTGTCGTCATTTAAATTTACCCCATATTTCCCTTGTAAATCAAAACCCTGCCCTCTTTCTGCAAAATGTATTGGAATGGATGGGGTGGAATGGTTAGGCCCCAAAAGCGAATGATGATCATGGCAATTGGCATGATCGGAGATCGCCAAGTTTGAAACATAAAAGGGCAGTGTCTGTTCGTTGTCTGGAACGGGGTCCTAAATTACACTTTTACCAAACAGTTACATGTATATCATAGGCATTATATGAACGAATGCAATCAATGAAAATCAACTTACCAATGGTTTATTTCCACAGATTTTTGCAATCATAATCCGGCCTTGTTGTAAACACAGCTCACACTCACAAGTCACTGACATTTTCTATAAACCATCCCAACAGAGGGCGCTATTAAAACTTAACGGAGTACAGAAAAAAAAATTAAAAAAACTTGTGATATTGTTTGAACTAGTGCAGGGCCCGTCGGAAATGTGTCTGTTCGGAAGGGGCAGAATTTAACAACCATGAAGCTGAATTTTGACAGAGGATTTAATGAAGATGTTGAATAAATTGATATCTGTACAAGAAACAGCTGTGCGCTTTGAAACATGGTGGAAAGCGCATTATAAATGTTGTAAGTTATAGTTATAAATGTCATCATTTAATGATAATAAACTGCAGGTGAACTTTTCAGAAATTGTACTGAATCATTGGAAAACGTTTCGTTTGTAATCTAGACTGTGTGATATAGACATAATTCTGAAGTTTTGTTAATGCTAAGGTCATGACAGTTCCGATATAGATTTATCAATCTGTGATATCGCCCTCCAGTGACAAAAGGCAGCAAACTGTAGTCTTGTGTGTGTGCTACATGCAACACATCAATGTAAAATCAAAAACATGGTGGCCATTGTAATGCCCCAAAAAGTTTTGTACAAGACACAAAACAGTATACATAATGACAAAAGCTTACTTTGGATCACACATTCAGTTTTTATTCATGACATATACCACTCAGAGCATAGACAACATTGCAACTCGGGGGAATATATTGCCTTACAAAATCCAAGAGTTTTTCAAAACCAGGGGCTGCAAACATAAACTGACCAATCAACTCATTTTTCTTTTCAGTAACAAAAAGCAATACAAACTTTTTTTAAAATAAATTTGCTGATGTAATCCTCAGCACACAGCAAAAAAGAAAAGAAAAATAATACTTAACAAAATTTAACAAGCACAGTTGTGTTTCCATGAAGACAAATAGTACCTTTTTTCAGGCTAAACTTTTTTATAAGAAAAAAGAAAACTGACATATTTCTTACTATTAAATGGATGGAGAATTTTTCACTGCCTGTCTGATGCCTTACTAACTTCAGCTTACTTCCTTAAAGTGCTTAGCAACATTTTGAATGCCAAGTATTCCATTTGAAAATAATGGCAAATTCTGCTTAACTGATAGAAGATAAACTTTGCTGAGAAAGTAAAAGCTTACAACTGATATGTGAAATATATTGCTTAAAAACGGGTCCCTGTGATAATTCTGCTAACCAATAAATTCGCTTAGTCAGATTTGGTAAGGACTGTTGTACGTAGCAGGGATGAACTATGGATTTCCACCAATTCCTTGACGATACAGGTGCTTTTAAACTAAGCGAGACAGACTCACATTTTTAACATCTATATGTATTCAAAGCTACATGAAAATCGACAACTCACACGTGACCCCCAATCCCGAAACCCGACCGTAACTGCAGGAAGAGCTTACAAGGTCTGTGCTTTCACTTGGTGAAATTACAGCATGCGAGGAATGCAGATTATCTGGTGTTATGCTTCAACTACAACCCTGTCCCAACTATAGCTGGGATTGTCCTAACTACAGTTGGGACTATCCCAACTATAGTTGGGACTGGTTTGGACTGCCCTAACTACAGTTGGGATTGTCCTAACTACATTTGGGGTTGTCCTAACTACATTTGGGGTTGTCCTAACTACAGTTGGGGTTGTCCTAACTACAGTTGGGACTATCTCAACTATAGTTGGGACTGGTTTGGACTCCCCTAACTACAGTTGGGATTGTCCTAACTACAGTTGGGACTATCTCAATTATAGTTGGGACTGGTTTGGACTGCCCTAACTACAGTTGGGATTGTCTTAACTACAGTTGGGGTTGTCCTAACTACAGTTGGGACTATCTCAACTATAGTTAGGACTGTCGTAGCTACAGTTTGGATTGTCGTACCTACAGTTGGGATTGTCCTAACTACAGTTGGGACTTTCCAACTACAGTTGGGATTGTCCCGAACTAAAGTTGGGGCCATCGCTATGCTTGTTGCGTAACAGTGCCAAAAACTGCAAAGACCAATATAAAGAGTTCGGCTGTCAGTTTTGTGATGGCGGGTCACAGATATATGCCTTAGCTTGTTGGCTTTGCAAAGCCACTAATGGGGTGGCCTCAGCTTGACCTGCGATTTGCTCGCGCGACGGCATCAAGCAGAAAAATACTGCTCAGGTCACAAAACTGAGAAATCGTGTGATCCTCGAGAAACATGTGGCATCTCGACACTTGCAACCATGCTCACGTCACCCAAGATGTGACGACGATTTCTCAGCACAGACATGATCAAGTGGGGTCTCCTTCCTTTTGAAAAACCCCGGATGAGAAACTATTCTTTTGTGTAAGATTTCCAAAGCCAACAAGTTATTAAGGGAGTTATCATAATCCATTGCAGTGATTTCACAAAGAGCATTTGTTTAAAGCTTGGTTAACTTAGACAATGACGTGCTTAGAAAGGCATTGGCTAGGAACTATTGGGAACAATCAGGATCCTTTGAGCGAGGATAGACCGGCCCTCATGATCTCATCGACTAGTAGGAGGTTGCCAGCGATCACCGTACTGTTGAGAAAATGGGAAAAATTTCATCAAATTTAATGCAGATTCTAGATGGAGCAGAAAAGTCTGGAGCTAATTTCAGGCAACCTGGACTTAATGGGCTGCTACCCCTGGCCGTGAAGATTATGGAAATTATGCTGATTGACTATTCAGAGCATACTGCGCGCATATTTTGAAGGCTGCACGTATATATGCGCTCGTGTTATCTCCTGCATGTCACGTCACGTATAAACATTTTGTTCAAGATTGCGCGATGCCTCTACGATATGGAAAGTCATCTGGAAGCCTTTGATTACATCCAAGGAATTTGAAGTGTTGGTGCTAACTCTATGGGCAAGAGTGCTTTTACAAAACTTTGTGAAGGGTTGTGAAGTGGAGACTAGGAGGGTTAAACAAAACTCACCATGAATGAAGAATTTGCTTCTTGACACAATAGTTATCCCAGATGCCTGCATCAGCTGCCACAAGAGCCTCACCTGAAAAAGATAGTGAAATATGTTTATTCCAAAACAACATTTTCTTCCATAATTCATTAGCAGCAATTTAACTGAAGAAATCAGTTAAATTGATTTTTTTCCCCAGAGTTTTAAGGTTGAGTTTCAGCAGTGTGGTCACATCCATTGCAAGACCAGACACAAGTTAAACATGAGTCCATTTACAAGCCTGATCAAAAGGAACAGGAGGTGAACAATTGCTTGGGGCTGGATGATTGTAATAGACTTGTGATGGACTTGTGATGGACTTGTGATGGACTTGAGTACTACTCTACTAGCTTTATGACTACTACTAAATTAAAAGTTTCTGAACTTGCTGAAACCGTAGCATCAGGATGAGGACCTAAGAGATCCCACCACTATGCCCACTCTCCCCCCAAAAAACATACAAATTTCTGTGGTGAATAAAAAGAATACAGCATCTTGTGAAGACTCACCAGTGGATATATCAACCCCAACCAGCTGCTTGCTCTCTGCGTACTCTTCTTGCAGCTTGACGATGACCTCCTGGGGGTCCAGACCAGAGTTCTGGGCTAGGACTTTGGGGATGATCAGGAGAGCATCGGCGAAGGCCTGGACACCTAGACGGGCACGGCCTTTGACCGTCTCCTTGAATTTGATCAGGCCAGCGTGGATTGCGATTTCCAAGGCACCAGCACCGGGAACAACGGCAGCTAGAAGGGGGCAGAAAATAAAAGTTATTCAAGCAATTTGGACATGAAGCATGGCTTGTGTAAACATTTCTTCCAGTATGATGGACAAGGAGGGGGGGGGGACAAGGGGGGAGGGGGTGTTTGAGGGATGATTGGAGGGATGGGGGTAGGGGAGGGGTGTAGGGGTAGGGAAGGGGTTTAGGAGGGATTGGGGGTGGGGGAGGGGCGTTGGGGGGTTGGGAGTGGAGTTGGGCATTAGAGGGATTGGAGTAGGATCGGGGTTGAGTGTAGGGGAGAGGCGTTGGAGGGATTGAGGTACGGATGGGGGAGGGGCGTTGGAGGGTTGGGAGTGGGGTTGGGGCGTTGGCACTGATCTCTATATAAAGACTGGATAGCTAATAAAGAGCCGCACAATGAATGAATTTCACGCCGTATTGGTGAGACCGGCTGGTGATCTACAAAGGACAAGTTGCCATTTTTATAGACAGCATGATTTCTTTTGTATCGTCGCGGTTTACTTGACTTATATTTTGACCACCACCACTGACCAAGGTTAAATACAATTTTTCTAACGTCGTGGTTACTAAAATGCCGCAAATATCACTTTTTCGGCGTTTTGAAATAATAATCACTACGGAAATGTGTCCCTTTTAGAACATCATAATATGTGTACGTGACCAAAATGCGCGTCAACTGTTGATACAACGCGCGCGTATTTACGCGTAGAACGTTCGTATTATACGCGGCCATCTTCGTGAGACTGGGGGCGAATTGGTCAATATGCAAAGTCTACTGTGTGAATGTTGTATGGATATCCGCTATCCAGTCTTTATATAGAGATCATTGGGCGTTGGGGGTGGTGGTGGTGGGGGGAAGGGATGTACTTACCATCTTCAATGGCATTCTTGACGGCACGTAGACCATCATGTATGGCATCCTTGATCTGGCTCAGAGTGTGTTTGTTGGGTCCTTTGATCAGGATGGTCACAGAGAGAGGGTTAGCACACTCCTCCACAAAGGTGAACTTCTCTTCTCCCTGTAACAAGAATTCAAAACAAGAATTGACAAAGACATTCGTTTGAATCTACCCACACACCTTACAGAAGGAAGTGCACCTTTCCCTATACACAGCAAAATGGCGGTATCGACCTTTGCACTACTACAGACTGTACTACTACAGAGATGCTACAATTTGTTTTGCTATTTTGGTGGTCAACTATGTCAACTTGTGTGCGTTTGTGGAATAAATTTTCCACAGAGAGCCAATACACTTAACTCTTTTGCCAACTTTTAACCACTTCGAGCCAGGTTGATTTTTGCCCAAAATTTCTAAATTTTCACAAGGCAACATTTTTCAGCCACTCTCTGATATACAGCCAAACGTCACAAATACTGATTCGCAGGCCGTGCACAGTGGCCCACACAACAGTCAGCACTTCGTCCGCCTCCAGACTACATTGACTTTGTGTGAATGTACAAAAGGCAAGAGGGATTGGCGTGTTTAGACGTCACCCGGAGGCAAGTCAAGGTAATCTTGACGTCTTAACCCGTCGCCCGTGCCTGTGTATAAAAACAGCCAGTGTGTGTTATCATGTCTTCCGACGCGAACTGGTTAAAGGTATAGTCCATCATTTGTAATTTGTGCATTTTGTTCGTTTGAAGCAACAAAAGTGCTCAAAATCTAAAAAGGGTGCTGAACAACTAACCTGATGAACTTTCAGCTAAGCTTCTGCTGTATATTTCGAGAAAAACAACATTCTAGGATCTTGATTTCAAATAAAAAGTTGCTGAATCATGTTTTAAATTGGGCCTGAATTCAGTGTCCGAGACACGTTCTCACAGAGCCGATTGCAGCTACGCGATGTCGCGCACTGATCCGACGAATTATAGCAACCGCGTGCGCGTGTGCATCATGTCAACGCATGCACGTGCTTCGCCGAATAAAAAAACTGAACTACTAACAGAAATTTCCAACGGTGCGTCTCGTTGGAAAGGCCTTCTTTCATTGATATCTTCGAAATGACAGCTTGCCAGAAAGAATAATTTCACAGGGAGTTTAGTCCCCTTACTATCTTTCAACCAAGTATGTTTGTCAACAATAATTACGTCAGTTACGTTTTGGATAGCTGCAAATGATGGACTGTAGCTTTAAGATATCTTTACTAAACAACTTTCTACTACTTACCAGAACATGTTCGAATACGAGCCCTGCATGTCCCAGGTTCTCCACGGCTAGATCGTCTACAGAGTTCATGGCAAGTCCTCCGCACGCCAAGCACAACCTGAAGGCAAGAAAAAAAACAGTTCTCACATCAACTCATCAACTACTCACAAGGCAGGGCAAATCAGATTGGCGCTTGGAATCAAAATCCTGACTCCAGTTTTGTGGAATGAAAGTGATTTTTTTGGTAGCTGATTCTGGTATCCCAATAGTGGATTCCAGGCAATGCCTTAAGCTCGGTTCATACTTCACGCGAAAGCGAAGCGAAATTCGTGACGTCAACTATACATTTGAAGCGCGTCCACCATTGTTGACGACATGAATTTCACTTCGCACATGATTTCGCGTGAAGTATGAACCAGGCTTTACAATTCTCAAGATGGACCAAACTGCAAGTGCAGTTCAAAGATTGGACAATTATAGATAGAAATTGACTTTATTGAACTTTAACTCTAACTCCCTAAGCTCGCTTGCCCAGATGCAGCCTGAATCCTCCAATAGCCTCAGATGGCAAAGAGTTAACAACTCTAAGCACCTGAATCCTTCAAAATCATCCACTTTTTGTCCCTGGAGGCCTCTGCCTGGATCCTGTGAAATCCTCCACTGGGTTTGCTGGCATTTTATCACATAATCGGATTTCAATACTCTTGATTTCATTAGCCTGTGTAACTCCTCCATTGTTACCCAGTATTGTGGATTGGCAATGCCAAGGCCCTAAGTAGCTGGAGTAAAGAGGCTGTATAATAAACAGTGATAAAAGCTGGATGCCTGCCCAAGTATGCATAAAGCAAGTAACAGCCTGAATCATCCAAAATCATATTATTATTTTTTTGCCAAAACCAGCCAGAGCCTCGATCCTCCAATTTCATCCAGGCTCACTTGGGGCCTGCTAACCTAGATCCTCCGTTATCCTCCAGAGGCACAATTCTGTTACACCCTCAATCCATCAAAATCCTCCAGTGCTTTGATTCTCAAAGGCCCTCCATCCTTCAAAATCCTCCATTATGCAAAGAGGATTTTGAAGGAATTGGGAAGGTTAGGGTTAAAATGTGTGAAGCATCATTTAAGAAAGCTGCAACTACGGAACAAATTCAAGGTAGTAATTTATTAGGTATCAGACAATGACTACACCTCTTCACATCAAAATTAGCATTAGTGATGCACTATGAAAGTTCATTGTTGGAATTCATTTTGGTTATTCTCTTCCCTTTTTTTTGGGGGGGGGGGGGAGTTGTGAGTCATGACCATACCTTTCCATGTTTCTTCTCTTGGCTCGGCGGAGCGCTACAATTCCTTCTTTTGCCAACATGTCTAATGACAGCGGATCGATGCCCTGAAAAGCAAAAAAACAGAAGGCCACACATTTCATTTTATAATTTTGCAACTACAGCTCAATAGCATGAAAATTCAATAGCAATAAATTACTAGTACATGCGGAGATACTTTGCAGCCATCCTGCGCGCAGACATTTTGATTTCATGTGCGTGTTTGTAGAACAAAACAAAATTAGATGGAGTGAATTTTGAAAGTGTACTCTAAATGCAACGCACAAGTACAACATACGCAAACAACTTAAGCGTGCCATGAGGGCTTAAAAACGTCACGACAAAAGTCATCTATACAGAGGCCTTTGTGTTGTTTGCGTAGTGCGAAATAAAATGCTCATTTACTGATTGTGGTTTTCAACGTAAAATATGTAATGAAAACATAAATAAATAAATAAATAAATAAATAAAAAAAACCCAGCTAATATGAGAATTCCTTATGTATCAGGTTGTTTCCAGGATGGCAAGTCACTGTGACCAGACACAGCCATCCAACGATGCAAAGCACTGACATGATTACTGTAGCATTGACTAACGAACAGACCGAGTCATGTACAGGACAAGGCTGCAGATACCATACAATGCACACAGAAGACGGATCTCGTGTCATTAATGAGCTCATTACGCATTCTAGTTGAACCATCCCTCTATGGCTGGCTAATTCAGCTACGCCATCACAGCGGTCAAAATCAATCCAGTGACTGTTTTTAACAGAACTGACACAGTAAATATCCCTTCACATGAAACTGACCTGCAGGGTTTAAAGGGTTTGATATATTGCTCCGAACCACTAGGGGGGTTAATCTATGACTCAACTCTTGGTGGCGCCGTTACCTTTTGGTTGATGACGACGAAGCCTTTGTCGTTTCCTTCGCAGACTTTCCTCTTCAGCTCAATGACCTTTTGGACCTTCTCGTCGGTGAATGCTCGCTCAGCCTGAACCAGCTTCTCCCGATCTTCGGCCGACTTGTAGAAGAACCCTGCGTTTACCTCACTGCATGGGAAAACAAAGTATAATAGGGTGTATAATGGTAACATATTTACTGCTCCATAAACCCATAAAACTATAGAGTACTGGGGCGGTCTGAGCCTATTATGGGCGTAAAACTATAGAGTACTGGGGCGGTCTGAGCCTATTATGGGCGTAAAACTATAGAGTACTGGGGCGGTCTGAGCCTATTATGGGCGTAAAACTATAGAGTACTGGGGCGGTCTGAGCCTATTATGGGCGTAAAACTATAGAGTACTGGGGCGGTCTGAGCCTATTATGGGCGTAAAACTATAGAGTACTGGGGCGGTCTGAGCCTATTATGGGCGTAAAACTATAGAGTACTGGGGTGGTCTGAGCCTATTATGGGCGCCGTGCACAAGTACCCCTTCAAGGGCCAGCAAAGGAGAGTTGGGGGAGACCTAGACTGGTTCCCAGTTCATCCACTGCGTATTTCGAATGTTCCAAAGTTACATGGGGCTGGGATTAGACTGGGAGACCATCGCAAGTTAAATTCGAATGTATTCGCGCGCCAACGACGTCTGACGCTCACGCAAAGACGCTGTGGCTAATAGCTTTGGCACATTCAGGAAATCGTGCGTACTTCGCGCGCGAACCAGTTCAGTAAAGTAGGCACACGCTGTGTGTCCCGTCCACGGGGTTCTCAAAAGTGGTAAAAACGCGCCCTCTTTTGTTGGGGCACAGAGCCCATGGAGAACCAGAAAGTCTAGTGCAAATGAATGGAGTACGCACGCATATTGGTTCACGGGCTGAATCACGCGCTAATGTCTTCCACACACATTTTGTGCGCGTGACGTATTCACTTCAGTACTCCATAGGGAGAAACAGGCAAGGCGGTTTAGGGTGGTAGGGTTAATGGGTCAACTTGAACAGTGTGCTCCGTTTGATTTTCTTACCTCTTCTCGTACTCCATGGAGACATTGCAGGTCAGGATGTAAGCATCAGTGACCCGTTTCTTCATGTCCGGGTGGCGGGCTCCATGGTCCATGACCAGCCCGCGGACCAGCGTGGTGTCCAGGTCCGTCTTGTGCTGCATCTGCATGATCTCCACCATGTGCAGGTCAATCTGCTCCTTGGGCTGACGGATCGCCAGCACGGCATCCACAATAACCTTGAGGGAAGGAGTGGTAACCATGTTATTTATTATTCATAAATACCTGGGACCGACGAACCGTTCCTATTGATCGAGAGCCTGACGCTCGACTGGTTTACAAGTAAAAACAGCCAGGCAACCCTGTGCTCCATGCCACAGTATGCACCACACGTGCCATCTGCAACCCAGCCACAGGAACTGCTAGTTCAGTTTGAAACACTGCTGAGAAAACTGGTCGCGGGACCCTGCATCTCTGCTACACGCATGCAGTATGCGCTTGGAGCAGCAGCTACAACTACATGTACAGTTAATAGTGCTTGAGTACATCCTGCGCGCTGTGCACACCACATGGCCTAAATATGGACAGCAATCATAGACTCACATTTTTGACAAAAAAAAGATTTTTATGAATGAGGATAAAAGTAAGACTAAGCAGCAAAAAACATGAGGTTTAAAACCAGTTTGGGGCCTGAAAGAGTTAACTACAAAACAAATTACTATGCAGTACATAAGCATCTATAGATCGATTTCAAGACTTACTATTGTATACTGGATACGCGATCCCCGCCAAAAGAGGGCATTATGAAAACAAACTACCACCATGGCCCGATATCACAGCAACAACTTGGAATCTTGTAACTTTCATTTCATTTTTTTTGGGGGGGGGGGGGGAAATTTTACAAGATTCCCAAGATGATGTGATAGCAGTTTCTTGCGTGATATATTGATTCGTTGGGATAACGCCCTCAGGCAGCAGGTGGTCACGTATCCAAATTACGATGACCTTTGAACCCAAGACCAGACTTACCTCAGTCAACAGGTCTGCCATCTCAGCGTGGACCTTGGTGCGGAGGGAGGTACGAGCCACGCTGATCAGCATGTCTCTGTCCATCTCTTGAGCTACCTTGACTTCCTCCAGGATCTGTAAGGCTTTGGCTTTGGCCAACTCGAAGCCCTCCGTCACTATACGGGGATGCAGGCCCTGCGAAAAGACATGCATAACTGTCACATGGGCTCCATGCGCCGACAAAAGAGGGCGCCGTTGTACCTAGCAACGACGTCCCATGGGCGGGACATTTCGCTGGTTGACGCGCACCGCTCCTTGTTTGTGACGCACGTACACCAGGGGATTTGTACTATGCACACGCAGTGGCCGTGCTTCGCGTGGCAAGTGAATTGCAGTCAGGTAAGGTGGCGTCGGTCGGTCACCCCCAACTGTACTCTCTTTGCCGGTGAGGGGGTACTTGTGAACGGAGCAGATAGTCACAACAAAAAGAGGATCGTCTATTTTATGGCCAATACAGTGGAACGTCGCTATACCGAACACCGCTATACCGAACATTCGGCTATACCGAACATCGTCTTTGGCTCAAGATTTTTGTGTACAAAACATACCGAACATTGTTGTTGAAAATTATCAACATAAGAGTGACAAGTGGCTATTATTTCCCCAAGGAATAGAAAGGAAAAGCCACCATTGCTGTAGGTAGTAAGCTCAAAACTGTGTAATTACATGATTCAATAATAGTCGGCACGTGTTCAAAGTCGTCTTTCAGTAACTACCAGGCGTGCAGGGTAAAGTTCTGAAGGGCGCTATTTGTTGAAAGTGAGTACCGCAGCACCAGCAGCTTAAAATTGCTATACCGAACGATCGCTATTACAAACAATTTCTGTGGATCCTGCGATGTTCGTTATAGCGGCGTTTCACTGCAGACTGATCCAACTCTCCATGTCTGGCTATGCCATCACAGCAGTCAAAATCAATCATGTGACTGCTTTTTAACAATAACGGATTCCCTTGTTAATTTGGGGGAGTGTAGCCTAGTGGTTAGGGTTTGTGACTCATGATCAGAGGGTCAGGGGTTAGAATCCTGCTGCTGGCCATATGTTGTGTCCTTGGGCAAGCCACTTCATCCCCACTTGCCTCTCTCCACCCAGGAGTATTAATGGGTACCAGCATTAGGTGGGGAGTAACCTGCGATGGACTAGTATTCCATCCAGGGGGAGTAAAAATATTCTCAGTCGTTTCATGCTACTGAAACTGGAGATGAACGCTGTCCTGATGGGCCATATTGGCTCATAACAGACTTGACTTGTTAATTTGATAAAGCCATGCTTTGACTGGAGGTCATTGATATGCAAGCTGTACCTATGGGTTTAATAACTCTTTTGCCAGTTGATGTAATACCTAAAACAAAGAAATCAGCTAATGTCAGAATTCCTTATGTATCAGGTTGTTTCCAGGATGGCAAGTCACTGTGACCAGACACAGCCATCCAACGATGCAAAGCACTGACATGATTACTGTAGCATTGACTACACGAACAGACCGAGTCATGTACAGGACAAGGCTGCAGATACCATACAATGCACCGAGAAGAGGGATCACATGACCCAGTAACACATGTGTCTACGGAAATTGGCTTCGGTTACTTCCATAGGGACAGGTGTGATTGCAAGTCACAGCCACAAAGTAATTTGGATGCGGCTAAGCTTTTCACTGATCAGATGTTAGTACCTCTGATATGTACAGGTCTGCCTGCTTGAGAAGCTCTCCAATGATGAGCACATTGGATGTAGTCCCGTCACCCGTGATGTCGTCTTGGGCAGTGGCCACCTTGGCTATCATGGACGCAGTGGGATGTTGAATTTGCTGAGAAAGAAAACAAAACCAAAAGGACAGAAACTTTTAAATTGAGTACAATTCATTTACTCAAAGTTTAATTTATGAAGTTCTATGACATTGCAATTTGAAACTGGCCAAAGAAAGTGAAATATTGCTATACGGGGCGAGTAGTGTTTTTGGTTAGTCACAAAGAAAGGCCTGTATACTTTTCATTTATGGCTGAATATCAGTGGAACTTTTACAGACTGTGGTCGATACCCAGACCGAATGTTGGTCGAACAGACACATTTGGTAACCTTTCCCGTTTTTGTGGGAGACAAGAACATATCCAAAGGGACATTTTTTATAAACTCACCCCGAAGTAGAGCTCTGGACTTTGAAATCAACATATGAGCATTTTGTCTTGTGTGTCACTCAAGATGCAGCATTCAAATGTGGTAAGGACAGCCATTAAATAGGGTCAGGGTGCTCAAGGCACCAGTCTACTTTCTTATATTGCATTTTGTTAACCCTCCTTTTGTTTGATCACTCACACACAGTCAAACATTTAATCCTGTTCCCCTGCAATGCCTTTTACACAGGCTAGTCACCAACAGTCAGATCATATTTCTTATAGGCACCCTGACTAGTCAAATTCCATCAAGAGACAAAAGCAGGTGACTGGTAGGCACAGCTGGCTTGTCAATTTCCTACAGTCAAAGCATAGCTGTATCAGGTTTCATGACAATCACAGCCAGTCAATCCTGCTTTATGTAGGCAGGGAAGCACCCAACTGTTAAAAACAGTCACTCAATTTATTTGGACTGCTGGGCTGGCCTTGTTGAAATTGCCAGCCAGAGAGGGAGGGTTAATGTCTTAAACTTTAGGACACACCATACCTGCAGTTGAAATCCCCCATATAATCTGGCACATAAGCCTTACCATTTCATGGAGGAGAACGTTGCCATCTTTCGTCAGTTTGATGTCGCCACTCCCAGACACTAGCCTGCAGTTAAAGGGAAAATACAACATTTGCAAACATCAAAAAATAAAACTACCAAATCATTTTGAAATACCTTGCTGGACTGTTAGTGAATGACAGTGTAAAGCATCCTGTAAAATCATGGCACCTGGTTTACTGTCATTTTCAAGAAAAGTGGTATTTTTGTATCAATTTCCAACGCTGGTCGGCCGATCAGCGTTGGAAAAAACTGGCTTTTTTTCAAATACTGGCCCCAATTGACCATCGCACTTGTTTGCAATCGATTACAAACCTATGAACGGGTACGAGCCAGCTAGACTGGTTCCATAACCTTATAATTCCCCAATGTATGTAAACTGCTCTGTTTCTTCTAATATGGAGTCAGGAAGCCAGACTACAGGAAATTGATTGTTTTTCTTGGTTTTTATAGCATTTTCGAACCCAAAACCTCAAAAAAGTCAGTGTAACTATATTTGCTATATATTTCCAACCCCCCAATTCCATCCATTTCTGAAAATTACAGCAAAAGCAAATGATGTATATTCCCTTTAAGCAAATATGATAAACCTTGTATCTGTGTTGTTTATCTTTTAATAAACAGAATGTTCTTTGGTGAATAATTGTTTTTTTTAGTTACAAAATTCACCACAAAAATAATACAGATGGAAAGACCAAGAAATTGGCATTTATTGCGCAGTGTGCACAATGGTTATGAATATCATGATCATAACTCAATTTGAACAGTAGTTAAATTTTACAATATTTTCACATAGTGACTAACATATTTGTGCTTGCTGCCGTAAACGGGAAACCCACAAGAAAATCTATTTTCGCCGACATTTTTGATGAATGAAACAAACAAACAAAAAGTTCATTAAAGTGTTTGTATTACCGTGAACTAGTCCCCCATTTTTCACAATTTCGACATTTTCACATTGTTCACATTTTCCACAAGTTCAAGTGGGCATGCCCATTTATGACAAGTAAAGAACCCTCTCGAATTTGAGCGAATGTGTAGCTTGATGGATAAGGCATTTTGACTGTGGGCCACATTGTCCCCAGTTCGAGATGCAGTCGTGCGAGGCAATTTTTTATCATTTATTTTCTTCATTTTTCCTAGAGTGTAAATTTCCTTGTTTTCAAAACAGCCGTTTTCCTACAGTAAACTTATAATGCAAAATTTGACCTCAGCGAGGTCAAGTTGTGCATCTCTCTATAGCCTAGAGGACTGATGACATCATACATGTCATACGGATACGCAGGGACCGGACCTTATTGAATTCTACATTAAATTGCAGAATATTTTGTGTTCTTTTCATGATTCGTGGCTTTGGAGGATTTGCTAAAATTACTTTTGGGCCTAGGTCTGATCCCTGTCTCCTGAATACAAAGTTACAACAATGTAAGCGAGGAACCAGACAAAGATTTGTTATGGAACAAATTTCTAAGTACCCCAAAAATCAAAAATCCACTGCGCATGTTCATACAAATTCATACAGTGCCACTGCCAGTACAGCGGAAAGAAAACAATTGGGCACCGGTTCACAGTCAAATACATTATATTGAGGGCCTAACATTACAGTGCACGGCAAAAGTTAAACAAAATCACAATTTTCCCCATCCCAACCCCCCCTCCCCTCCAAAAACAAACAAACAAAACAAAGAAAAAGAAAGAAAATAAAACAAATTTTTAAAAAGGAAAATAAATATTGAGTTGTAAACTATTCTTAACTCATTCGTGACCTGCCATTGCTAAGTTAAGCTTAACTTGTTAAATCATTCATTAGTACCGAGTTGACCTATTCAGTATTCTGACCGAGTTGCCCACTGCACATTACGACATGTACGACTACGAGGGACGAGTTGACTTTCAAGTTTCAGTCATTTACTTTTCGTTAGGGTCCTTAACCAACAAACTCCTGCACGCAACTCACATTTTGATAGTACCCTTCGGTCCTAGGTTTGTCCGTAAGACATCTTGCAAACCTTTGGCAGCACTGGTGTTGATGGCCAGGGCTTGGGCCGCTCGGGCGATTTCAGCTTTCGGATTGAGCGATTGTATGGCTGCCATGTTTGTTGAAAATCGTCCGCATGGTTTTGCACTGGTAACCGCCCGATCTACACAACCTCCAACTCGGCAGCGGGTACCAGTACATAGTTAATCTTTCGAGAAACTTCCCTTTATTTTGAACAAAAGAGGGCGCAATACACGATTGCAAGGTGCACCCGGACCCAAGCAAATAAATTCCATAGAAACCAGTGATAAATCCCCATTCTTCAAAATTCTTTTTAAAATACTCGAAACTCTCACATGTGTTCAGGCTGCACAGAAAAACGATGAACAACATGTCATGTTTTTTTTGTTTTAACATTTTTGGTGGGTTGACGGTTGGAGAAATTCTCACCCAAAGAAGATCACCCCTAAAACGAATTATAGATTATGTCATCGGATTATGGTTTGAGAATAAAGAGGATGGCGTCAGAAATTGTTATGTCTGCGCAGATGACGGTTATTTTTATGATTTTGGTTGGCCAAGTATGGAATATGGTGTTAGTTGAAGTGATTATTATTGCAGAATGTAGAAGTTTTAGGTTTGAAATTATAAATTTCAGATGGCTCAAGGTGAGTGCGCCAGAGCAAGGCGTTATATCTGTCATATACATGTAGCATATATTTCTGGGTTTTGTTTTGGGTTTAATTGTGTTACTTATTATTCCGTTTACTTGATTCATTCCCAGTTAAGTGTTATTTGTTTACTTTTCATTGAACATTTGATTGGTTTTATTTTCTTGCTTATTTGGTTTAATTGTTTATTTGATTTAATTGTTTTTGAATTCTATTACTAACTTTTACAGTGTTTTCTTCATTTGTTTGTTAACGTGACAAACGGCCCGAAATTTTAAGTTTCGTCGCAGCCTTTAATTGCGCGTTACAGTGGAGACGATAACTCCAGCCTGAAAAACACATTGCAACAAATTGAAATTTCGTCTGAAGATTGGTCGTGATATATTGAAATAAACTCTTAAAAATTGACGGGAACCGTTAAAGAAAAATGAAGTGTGATTACAGAAAATACAGCGTAATATTCGCGAAGTCAATTTCAATTACACAAAAATAAAACACTCTTTGTGGAGACGATAACTCAAGAAAAACACATTGCATTGAATTGAAATTTCGTCCGACGCTTGACCATGATATGTGAAACAAACCGTTTAAATATTGACGGGAACTGTTGAATAAAAATGAAATTATGATTACAGAAATTACAGTGTATGTTTGCGAAAAATCCAATCGAAACACACTACATTCTAATTGAACAAAATTAAAACACTCTTTGTGGAGAACATTACTCAAGATAAACACATTGCATTGGATTAAAATTTCGTCTAATGATTGGTCGTGATATATAACACTCACAAAATAAGAATCGACTGGAGCCATTGACGATAACAATTAATGCAACGAAAACAAATACTGCAGTGTTTAAGGCCTTAATTGGACACTCTCGTACATCATTTTGCCAACAGCAATTTCTCCCAAAAGAGGGCGCACTACACAAATAGCGGTCACCACCGTGAATTTAAGACTTCTGTGAACGCAGAGATCTGTCCAACCGAAGTCGGCTTTAATTGAACAAAAATAAAACACTCTTTGTGAAGACGATTATTCCAGAAAAGCGCTTTGCATTGACTTGAAATTTCGTCTAAAGATTGGTCGTAATAATGCAACAAGAAGAGTGAACCGTTGAAGAAAACAAGAAGTGTGAATACAGAAAATACAGCGTATTATTCGCAAAAATTCAATCCAAACACCAGTCAATTTTAATTACACAAAAATAAAACACTCTTTGTTGAGACGAAAACTCAAGAAAAGCACATTGCATTGAATTGATATTTCGTCTAATGCTTGATCATGAATAAGCAAAAGTGAGGCAAATGTTCTGTTTGGCTGCAACTGCAGCCCGATCGCCAAGTGTTTCTCCGGTTTTTGCATAAGACACTGTTAAGGGAGAGAAAAACAATAATTTGTCTAAATCTTCTGTCTTGTTTGTCTATCGATCATGATAAATCATCGGGCAAGAATTCAATTTAGTGCGTGACTTAATTTTTTAGATATTTTGTCGACCAGGGCTATCGTTTCTGTGCAAAAGTGAGGCAATAATTCTGTTTGGACTGCAACTGCAGCCTATCGCCAAGTGTTTCTCCGGTTTTGCACAAGACACTGTTGAGGGAGAGAAAAACAATATTTTGCCTAAATCTTCTGTCTTGTTTGTCTATTTATCATTAATAATCATCTGACTAAAATTCAATTCAGTGCGTGGCTTAATTTTTTAGATATTTTGTGGACCAGGGCTATTGTTTCTGTGCAAAAGTGAGGCAAATGGTCTGTTTGGACTGCAACTGCAGCCTATCGCCAAGTGTTTCTCCGGTTTTGCACAAGACACTGTTGAGGGAGAGAAAAACAATATTGTGTCTTAATCTTCTGTCTTGTTTGTCTATTTATCATGATAAATCATCTGGCAAGAATTCAATTGAGTGCGTCACTTAATTTTTTAGATATTTTGTCGATCAGGGCTATTGTTTCTGTGCAAAAGTGAGGCAAATGGTCTGTTTGGACTGCAACTGCAGCCTATCGCCGAGTGTTTCTCCGGTTTTGCACAAGACACTGTTGGGGGAGAGAAAAACAATATCTTGTTTAAATCTTCTGTCTTGTTTGTCTATTTATCATGATAAATCATCTGGCAAGAATTCAATTCAGTGCGTCACTTAATTTTTTAGATATTTTGTCGATCAGGGCTATTGTTTCTGTGCAAAAGTGAGGCAAATGGTCTGTTTGGACTGCAACTGCAGCCTATCGCCGAGTGTTTCTCCGGTTTTGCACAAGACACTGTTGAGGGAGAAAAAAAACAATATTTTGTCTAAATCTTCTGTCTTTTATGTCCATTTATCATGAATAATCATCTGGCTCAAATTCAATTGAGTGCGTCACTTAATTTTTTAGGTATTTTGTCGACCAGGTCTATCGTTTCTGTGCAAAAGTGAGGCAAATGGTCTGTTTGGACTGCAACTGTAGCCTATCGCCAAGTGTTTCTCCGGTTTTGCACACGATACTGTTGAGGGAGAGAAAAACAATATTTTGTCTAAATCTTCTGTCTTGTTTGTGTATTTATCATGAATAATCATCTGGCAAGAATTCAATTTAGTGCGTCACTTAATTGTTTGGATATTTTGTCGTCCAGGGCTATCGTTTCTGTGCAAAAAAAGTGAGGCAAATAGTCTGTTTGGACTGCAACTGCAGCCTATCGCCAAGTGTTTCTCCAGTTTTGCACAAGACACTGTTGAGGGAGAGAAAAACAATATTTTGTCTAAATCTTCTGTCTTGTTTTTCTATTTATCATGATAAATCATCTGGCAAGAATTCAATTCAGTGCGTCACCTAATTTTTCAAATATTCTTTTACTTAACAGAGGGCGGGCTACATAAATAGTGGTCTCGATAAAAGCCCACCACCAAACTCGTTTGGGGGGCAACAACTCCAAAAATACAAGATGTTTTATATTGAATTTTCGTCCAGTGATTTGTCATGATGTTTAACATTGCGAGATTTTATTTCATAAGAAACCCTCAAACAATGAAGCAATATTGACCGTAACAATACAGTGTTTTAAGCGCGACAAATGCAATCCGCATGAAAATCAATGTGTATTTTTCGGGTGTAAAACACTACATTGTTACGATCATATTATTTTTATCGTTGGACTGTTTCTCACGATATTCAATACACCTCTGTTACAAATCGTGGAAAATAATTGCACAAAATTTCAGTTGAATACATCTTGTATTTCTTGAGTTATTCATCGGAAACTGAGTTGTTAATTTTTGTTCAATAGTGCATGCAGCATCCGCACCAATATTCTTTAATTTAATAGAGGGCGCGCCACATAAATAGTGGTCTCGATGATATATCCACCACCAAACTCGTTTGGGGGGCAACAACTCCAGAAATACGAGATGTTTTAAATTGAAATTTGGACTAGCGATTTGTCATGATGTTTAACATTACGAGATTTTGTTTCATAAGAAACCGTCAAACAATGAAGCAATATTGACCGAAACAATACAGTGTTTTAAGCGCGACAAATACAATCCGAATGAAAATCAATGTGTATTTTTCGCGTGTAAAACACTACATTGTTACGATCATATTATTTTTATCGTTGGACTGTTTCTCATGATATTCAATACACCTCTGTTACACATCGTGGAAAATAATTGCACAAAATTTCAGTTGAATACATCTTGTATTTCTTGAGTTATTCATCGGAAACTGAGTTGTTAATTTTTGTTCAATAGTGCATGCAGCATCCGCACCAATATTCTGTAATTTAATAGAGGGCGCGCCACATAAATAGTGGTCTCGATAAGATATCCACCACCAAACTCGTTTGGGGGGCAACAACTCCAGAAATACGAGATTTGTTAAACTGAATTTTCGTCTAGCGATTTGTCATGATGTTTAACTTTACGAGATTTAATTTCATAAGAAACCGTCAAAAAATGAAGCAATATTGACCGTAACAATACAGTGTTTTAAGCGCGACAAATGCAATCCGAATGAAAATCAATGTGTATTTTTCGCGTGTAAAACACTACATTGTTACGATCATATTATTTTTATCGTTGGACTGTTTCTCATGATATTCAATAGCCCTCTGTAACACATCGTGGAAAATAATTGCACGAAATTTCAGTTTAATACATCTGGTATTTCTTGAGTTGTTGTTCAGAAAACGAGTTGTTGTTTTTTGTTCAATAGTGCAGCATCCGCACCAATATTCTTTTTTTTTTTAAATAGAGGGCGCGCCACATAAATAGTGGTCTGTCGATCCTCCACCAAACTCGTTTGAGGGGCAACAACTCCAGACATACAAGATGTTTGAATTGATTTTTCGTCTAGTGATTTGTCATCAAGTTAAAACATTACGAGATTTAATTTCATAAGAAACCGTCAAACAATGAAGCAATATTGACCGTAACAATACAGTGTTTAAAGCGCGACAAATCATTACTAACACATTGTCGTAAAAGTTGGTATCTGAAAATTTCTATGCAAAACCCCCTACACC